AGCCCAAGGCGATTAACTGCAAACCTCTGGACCTGAAGGGACCGGTGTCTCAGGAACTGGACAAGCACTTTCTGCTGTGCGAAGCCTGTGGGAAGTGTAAGTGTAAGGAGTGCGCGCTGCCCCGGACTCTGCCGTCATGCTGGGTGTGCAACCAAGGGTGCCTCTGCTCGGCGCAGAACCTGGTCAACTACTCCACCTGCATGTGTCTCGTCAAGGGCGTCTTCTACCACTGCACCAACGAGGACGACGAGGGCACGTGTGCCGACCACCCCTGCTCCTGCTCCCACTCAAACTGCTGCGCCCGCTGGTCCTTCATGGGTGCCCTCTCCCTGGTGCTCCCTTGCTTGCTCTGCTACCTGCCAGCCACCGGCTGCGTCAAGCTCTCCCAGCGGTGCTACGACCAAGTGAGCCGGCCCGGATGCAGATGCAAAAACACAAACAGTGTCATCTGCAAGGCGTTGCCAGAGAGCAAAGGAAACAGGCCAGAAAAGCCCTTTTGATAGTTTGGGAGGACGGGGAGCGGGGTGGCGTTGGCTCTTTAATAACCTGTGTTCTGAGGATAACGTTCGCCTTTTGCCTTCGGAGAAAGCAGAAGCAACTATTTCCACAAACTGAAGCACTTTGGGTTATTCAGGGTTTTGGAACTGTTCGGAATTTAAACAGACGGGGGCCAAAGGAGGATTCTTAATAATGTTGGGTGAAGGCCGAGAACCTCTGTATGTCATGAAGTACAGCTGCTTAAAATCTCCTGCTTTGGGCGGACGGCTGCCCACCACGAGAACCTTTACCTGCTCGCTCGGCAGGCACGGCTGCACAAGTAATGCCCATTCCCAGCTGCAAAAAGCTGCATCGGATTCGTATTCAGGGTGGGCTTCTTGGTTTTTGCTTTCCTTCCAGACCCCGATTTGCTACCAGCAGCCTGTTGAAGGTGAAGGTCAGCTCCCTCCTTCCCCACCTGCGCACTGGTTGCACACAAAGTACGTCTTTCTGCAAAGCTTTCTGTGTCTCTCAAAGCTCTGGAACTGGAAGCGAAGGTAACAGTTCATTTCTTGGAGGGTCTTTTAACATTTAGACACGTTGCTTTCTTGGAACCCAGCTGGCCACATGGATTTGGACCCTCTTTTTAAAGCGCGATGGTAGCAGGGTTGCTCCCTCCCCAGGAAGAACAGCAGCGGGATGTGTTCAAGCAGTTGTACCAAGATCGTGTCGTTCTGCCCGTAAGCTGATCCGTAGCATCGGGTTTCACTCAATGGAATATTAATTTTACATCAACAGTACAAACCCGCTCCAGAAGGACAGCGGTGGAATCCCGCTCCCCGCAGCGCTGGAGCAAAGGGAATCTTAACTTACGCCACAAAGTGAAGACGTTCGGTGTTTGTTTCTCCAAACCTCTTAAGCTCTGTTAAGAAGTCACAAAAACCTAAGTGTACAGTACACGTAGGTGTATTTTTATAGGGATGTCAATTCAGTACCTCCTCTCCTGAAACAAGCTCTTCTTTGCTCATAAAATATTATGATTTTAATTATTTTTTTTTGTCTTGGGGATGAAAGGCATTTGCTTGAAGTACAGCCCGTTCCCCATCTCTATTGCTGCTGTTCGACTTTTGCCTCGTCTGTACAAAATTGTGTCTTTTTAAGTATAGAGAATGCTTTTAATGTTTATTTTAGTGTTAACAAACACTAGGGAAAGCCAGGGGAGGGAAGACAGTGTATTTGAAGAATGTGCCCATGGTTTTCAGCAAGTGATTATCCTTTGTCCGCGTGCACATTCCCTTAGGATGCAGTAACCCCTTACGATGCCGCAACCCCTTTCTCTTGACAACCACAAGGTGCTAAAGAAAAATCTTTGTCCAAACATGCAACACTGTAATAAGTAGGTAGGTACTTGTTGCATGCAGAAAACTGATCGAGTCTCTCCTTTTTTTTCTCTCTCTTTTTTTTTTATAATTAGAGGAAATTTCCTCGGTAAATGCACAGCAGTGACAGTGAAATGTCATCTCTAATTAGATAAGCAATAGGCAGAGCTCATGTAGCATTTCCAGGAATCCCATTTGCTTGGTTGCAATACAGTTGCTGCGTAGGGGTTGGCAGAAGCGTGCTGATGGGACTTCTGGTGTCTTTTGTTTTCAGAATTCATTTAACCTGGATGTCTTGGGGTTTAGTCAAGCTTAATTGTAGATGTATTTTGAATGGGGAATTTAAAAGAAAAACACAACAAACTTTCTATATTTATAACATTTGCTAGCTTGAACGTGATAAATCACAGAAAAAGGGATACTACGTCTGTCACCCGATACCAATTCCTGTAGTTCATCCTTGTGTTGACCATAAGGTGACACCAGAAAGAAGGAAGCAGGTGGGGATCCAGAGCTCTAGTTATTACCTTGCACAAATTGGACGGGGAAAGATAGAAGGAAAACCAACCCCAGCTGGTGGTTGAATGTATAAGGTATTGTATTTAATATGACAACTCATTTTCTGAAGACGCGAACGGGCTAGAAAGGGCAGCAGGAGAGGTGTTTACCTACTGCCCTCCTCTGATGGGACCATCTGCATCCAAAGGGCCTTCACCTACGGTTGTTTTGCCTTTTCGGCCCTCTGTCCCTGGCTGTTCCTGGAGGATCCGAGCTGAAAATCCGCAATAGCAAAGGCCATGGCTTAGACTCATGGTCCTTACAAGCAAATACGACGCTGGAGTGGTCGCCACTGTGCCAACCTACACTCATGTACAGACACCCAGCGATCCCCTACGGATTTGCTTTCATTGTACATAGCTGTAAACTATTTCACTGTTGGTTTCTTTGAGTATATAAATCCTGCTATGGTGTAAAGGCGATCCCACGCTAGAAGACTGTAAAATGTTAGTGGATGTGTTAAGAGCAGTGGTGACCGTGGCAGAGCCGCCCTCCCTCCTCTCCCTGTCCCCCCGGCGCTGCGGTCGGGCTCCCAGCCCGAGGGACGGGAGCTCTTTGCAGGGCGTGGGAACACTCGGGCTTGGCCAAAGCGAGGGCTCTGCCGTCGGAGGGTACATCTCCGGTCAATAATGTCTTTATTTCCCTGTCTTCCCCCCAAAACGCCTCTCTTCCCCCATCCCCTTTTAAGGTACTCGGGTCTCCCGCTACTACAGGCATGGTGCCGCG